GATAGATAGATAGATAGATAGATAGATAGATAGATAGATAGATATAGAGATGATAGAGATAGAGATATTTGATATATCACCCTATCAAAAAACAGGGTTCCATTCAGTACATTTCCCTTTGCTTCTTTTTGCATGCTGGTAGCCACAATTTTAAAATAACTTCTAAAGTAGATCAGATGTTGCATCCTGATTTGCAATGCAATTGGACTACATGGCTATGTAGAAATCTGAACCGCAGTTAAGGATGCCAAGGGTTTACGCCTTATAGCAGTGATGCTCTGTGCTCTAGAAGGTGTGTAGATCTGGATACATGCTATATAGAAATTGACTTGGCAGGTACTGCTTTGCCAATACTTAGTTCTAAATCCTTCATTTCTTTCCCAGAGTTTTTATATACTTTTATTGTTTTACCAACTTCATTTTTACATGCTCGCCCCTCCTCCGTTCTACACATTAGGAAAAGTTACATTTCTCACTTTTGAAAAAAAGAAAAGTCTCCAGAGAATAATCCACAGTTTTAAAAGGAGAAAATGGATGAATCATTCCATCTTAGCTTCTTTCCTTGGGGAACTGAATATTTTAACATATTTGCGAAAGCAAACAACTACCCTCTTTTTTTTTTTTTACCACATTCTGCTGATTTATTATGTTTTGGATTTTCAGTAACCCTGCAGTTCATCATACTTACAGATCCTTTAGGGCCTGGCAAACCTGCTTCACCCTAACAAAGCAAGATGAATGGTGTCAGGTTGGCATAGATATGTGCAGTTTTACATATAATCCATTTCATATTATTCTTTCTACATATAGAGTGTATACAGGTATTACCATAATTACAGGAAAGGAGAAGTCTTAGAGGGATGCTTCAAAAGGATAGAAAGCAATAACCACAAATTCCGCAACAGAATATACATTTTGAAGTTGGAGTGTTGAGTTGGGCCTTGGATGAGTTTTCGCTGTATAAAAACGGTTATATGTCAAATTCACGGTATTTTTATTTGGGGCATTCTTGGCCTCCAATCTTTGCAGCCATCAAAAATAGGAAACCTAATAAGTTTTTGTATCAGAAACAGCTAGTGCAATTAATACATGTCTTCCCCAATCTTAGCGCTGTCTAGGTTTTTGTGGCCCAGAATCCTCAAGTAGGACAGCCATTGATGAGTGAAAGTTCAGGAATGATCATATTCAGTGGGAGGTCTTATAAAAGAAACATGGAACTAGTACCTGAGAATAAAGCCATGAAGATTACCTTGGCTTTGAGGGCTGCCAATCTGATTCATGCATTTATTTTTAAAAGAGAGAAATTTCTTTTCAAGTTCCCACTTGGGGAGAAGCTCCAGCGAACCAACTCTCATAAGCGTGACCCGACAAAAACGCGTACGACAAAAGAACCGCGTCACTAAAACCGCGATGTCATCAACGCGGCGACAACAGTGCAGTGACAAAAGGGCGATTTACAACAGCGCGTCGACAGAAGAAAGTAAGGTTTAGGTTTAGGTTTAGGGTTAGGTTTAGGGTTAGGTTTAAGGTTAGGGTTAGGGTTAGGGTTAGGGTTAGGTTTAGAGTTCGGTTTAGGGTTAGGTTTAGGGTTAGGTTTAGGGTTAGGTTTAGGGTTAGCATTACGTTTAGGGTTAGGGTTAGGGTTAGGGTTAGGTTTACAGCACAGTTCTGTCGCTGCGCTGTTGTCGGCGTGATTTAGCGCTGATTCGTCGGAGCGCTTTAGAACTTGCGGTTTTGTCACCGTGGTTTAGTCGGGCGCGCTTTTGTCGGTCGCCCTTTTGTCGGTGAACCCTCATAAGTAAATGAAGTGCTGCTTTGTGGACCAAATCAGCCAATCATTGCTGGGTAGGGAAGAGATGCATTAATTATGGTGGTTCTCAGATTGTCATCAAGTTCAGCAAAGACTTTGTCACGGGGCAAGAAGAACTAAGAACCCAGCTCACATTTCTTGATTTGGAGAGGGTTATTGGCCTTGTTTTTTTTTCCCGGGAAGACTACCATGAACCTAGTCAGATGGCATTTGCGTCCATTATTTATCATGATGATGTGTCTTTAATCCTTTTTGGAGGCCCTATCTGGTCATTGGCGATTACACAACCATATCAATTGAATAAATAATAAATGTGGAAATAGGCAGCTTTGTGATTTTATTGCATCTGGCATGTTCTATGAATTGCAAATCCCTTCCTAACATTTTGCTACATTACTAAAGGCTTCCTTTATTAAATCTGCAGTGTTGGCAAGAACAATTTCCTTGAACTATTTAGTCACACTAAAAGAAAGACACAATAGGGTTTTTTGTATTTTAAGTCTGAATATTTCCTATTGAAAGGAGTGAACACATTGATTCTTACAAGGTCGCCTCTTTGTCCAGATTCTCCTTCTCCCCCAGCAGGTCCCTGTGATATAAAAAGACAGACAAGCCTAGATTGTAAATATGCACCGTATACTTTCCAGAGTTTTTGGCAAGGTTGGAAAATAAATGGATTGTGCAAGTTTATATACTCACTTGTTCTCCTTTTGGCCCTCGCCCGCCAGCTGAACCCTAAATACAAATGAAAAATGCAGTCATATAAATATGGCCTAATAATTAAACAATGAGTCAGGTCTGTATTTAGAAAGTGAGAATGTATGATTTGCCTTCTAGAGTGCTCTGCTACCACATCTTAAAATATGAATGGAATATTAATTAAACATTAAAACATAAAAGCATGCTCTGTGAATACTTAGCATTTCATCATCTTAATCCACATCCACATGCTTACACTCTCGCACCCACTGGAATGAAAACTCATGTGAAAGCAAGATCCCCATTCAGTTCAAAGTTTGAGGCAGTTCCAAAAATGCGTTTATTCAGGTATCTGGAACTGCCCACTTTAACTGGTGCATAGGAAAAATTCTCTCCAGGAATGTCATGCAGTTTGAAATGAGAAATGCATTTGCAGAGAATCAGTGGTGTAGACCAGAGATAGGTTGCTGCTGGTTCGGCCCAGATCGGAAGAACTAATAGTAGCGGCAGCAGGAGGCATGCATGAGCAAACCAGTAGGAAAAAAATTAGAAACCCATCACTGGTCTAGACAGTGGTGGGATTCAAATTTTTTACTACCGGTTCTGTGGGTGTGGCTTGGTGGGCGCTGAATGGCTTGATGGGCGTGGCAGGGGAAGGATAGTGTAAAATCTCAATTCCCTCCCCACTCCAGGTGAAGGTTACTGCAAAATTCCCATTTCCTTCCAGTCAGCTGGGACTTGGGAGGCAGAGAATAGATGGGGGAGGGACCAGTCAGAGGTGGTATTTACAGGTTCTCTGAATTACTCAAAATTTCCTCTACTGGTTCTCCAGGACTGGTCAGAACCTGCTGAATATCACCTCTGGTCTCCAATCTTGGC